GGGAGGCCCGCCCCACTCCACCTTCTGTCCCCGAGGACCAGTCTCTGCTGAAGCTCCTCGCCCGGGCCTCCGTCTGCTCAGAAGCGCAGCGCCTCTCCCGGGGCGGGTGCTCTGTCACCTTCTGAACTTGAGAATGCACGGCCAGATGGTGGCCGCTGGAGTCGGAGTTGGAGTCGACGCCCCCCGAGCTGCTGGTACCCACACAGGGCAGGGAGCTCCACTCAACGCTCTTGTGAGACCCCTCCACATGCTGGCGGTGTGACTCCCAGCTTGGCATGTCCAGCGTTGTGGGCCAGGGCTTCCTGAAGGACACTCTCTTCTTGCTCAGGGCTCCAGCTCTCAGACCCCAGTCCTGCCCTGATCCGGGCTCCCCAAGGCAGCAGGCCACCCCAGATTGTGCTCCCAGTACAACCCATTCTACAGGTCAAAGAACTGAGGCTTGGAGGGTTTTGGACTCCCTGCCCAGTGCACTTACTTTTGTTCTGAGTTGGACTCTAAGTTGGTGAAGAGGTTGGGGTACCGGTGGGCGATGCTGTTCCAGTCCACGTCCTCCAGCCGGAAACCCTGGCCAGGAAGCAACAGGCAAGTGGCCCTCTCCTCCTGCAGGGCTCCAGAGCCCTGATCACAGTATGGGAGGCTACACTCACCTCCCTGGCAGCAGGGGCCTGATCATTCTCAGAGGAGTCGCTGGGGTCCATCAGAGTCTCAGCCGTCACCACCTGCAAAAGACCAGAGGCTAGTGGGCAGGGGCTGGGAGGGAAGGGCATCCTTCCCTCCCCGACAACACCCCCCCNAAGCAACAGGCAAGTGGCCCTCTCCTCCTGCAGGGCTCCAGAGCCCTGATCACAGTATGGGAGGCTACACTCACCTCCCTGGCAGAAGGGGCCTGATCATTCTCAGAGGAGTCGCTGGGGTCCATCAGAGTCTCAGCCGTCACCACCTGCAAAAGAAGACCAGAGGCTAGTGGGCAGGGGCTGGGAGGGAAGGGCATCCTTCCCTCCCCGACAACACCCCTCCTGCCCCCACAGCACCCCTCCCCTTAGACCTCACCAGCACTTTGTGTCAGATGATTCCTCCTTCCGGAGGCCAAGGTCCCAGAGGCAGCCTGAGCGGGGCAAGCCAGGGCACCCCAGCAGAGGCCCCAGCTGGAGGGGGCACACTGACTGACAGGGGAAGTCCAAGGATGGGCTGGGGAGGAGGGTTTGGAGGTAGGAAGGAGGGTGGGTGGGCAGGCTCGGGACAGGCAGGTGGAGCTCACCTCCACACTGCCAGTCTGGGATCGGAGTATGCGGCCCACCCACGAGGAGCGGGCCAGCTGCAGAAGGCAAGATTTCTGGAAGGCCTGCAGCTCTGTTTCCAGCTGCTGCAGCACGTGGATGGTCTGCAGCAGCCGCTCCTCCAAACACTCCTTTTCCTGCTCCAGGAGGGCCCATGGTTGGGGGTCCTCCTGTAGACCCCCCGGGCCCTGCCCAGCTCCCTGACCCCACCCACCTCACCAGCTGGGCTTGTTCCTTCTGTTCCTGCAGCTCCTGGGTCAGCTTCTGGACTTGGTTCTGCAGGAGCTTTTCCTGACTGCGGGGGCTCCTGGGAGGAGGGGCAATCTCAGCAGGCCTCACCTCTGGGTCAGGAAGGTCAGCAGCCCAGGAGGGGAGGAAGAGGGTCTCCACTGCCATCACCAGGGCACACAGTGTACCTGGACCCAGACAGCTCAGGCTCTGACAGGTCTGGGCATGGATATAGGTTGGGTTCAGTGCCTATCGACATGCTCAGGGTCAGGGTTAGGTTTGTGGCACCTTAATTTACTCAGGGTTAGGATAGAGGGTCAGGGTCAGGTAAGGACTAGAGTTAAGAGGCAAAGGTCATGGTAAGGGTCAGATTCAGTATTTGGGGCTGGGGTCAGACAGAAGCCAGGATGGGCTGGGTTGGGCTGAGGGCTTTGCTGCTGACCTCTCAGGTAGACACCCTGCCACCTCCTGTAGGATGTGACAGCGCCGAGCATCCTGGCCATTCTGGATGGCCCATCGCAGGGCCTGGATCTCCAGTTCTCGCTGCCCCCACAGCAGCCGCAGAGTGCGGGGGTCCAGGGACTCAGGAGCCAACCTACAATGTCAGCACCCCTGCTGCTGATCAGGCCCGTCCCTCCAGCTGGTCCAGCCAAGGAGGCTGACCACCCTTCCCTCCCCTCCTTACTGCAGGTTGACAGAGAAGACCACCCCTGTGGAGTGGGGCTTGATGTCCTGCGGACGTGTGGGGGCCACAGGGTCTGCAGGTATGCCAGTTGGAGGACCCAGGTCACCCCTGACTGGCTCTTGATCTGCCAGAGATGGGAGAGACTCCTCCTCTGCCTCTTCAGCCTCCTGGGAAGATTCAGGGGCCATTCTCGATGTTCTTGGGGAGCTGGGAGGGGGGTGGGGCGGGGCTGAGTGTGCCCTGTGTCCCGTGTATGGGCGCACACAGACACACACATACCAGGAGCAGTTCTGGTTCACGGGGTGCCACTCTCTGAGGAGCTGTGCCTGTCTATCCCACAGGACACCTGACTGCCAGTCATGTGAGTGTTCACACCTGTGTGCTTCTGACGGGGCTAGGGCAGGAGGTCACCACCCCAGGCAACAGGTTCCCCCTGTGTCCGCACATTCCCTGTTGTCTCCTTGTTACCCTAGCCCTCATCCTAGAGCAAGGGTCCCCTGGAGTGTTGGTCCTTTACCTGTGATGCTTGCTGGTGTCCCCTCCAACTCAGGGCCCCACCTCCAACACTCCCCTGAGGCCTGAGCTCAGAGCAGGCCTGGGGAGGGAAGGGCTCTATACCGTTGCCACGGATACCAGCACCCAGAAGGGGAGGGGCTGTTTGTTACCAGGAGACTCCAGGGAGACCCAGACCAAGTCCCTGAGTGAGTTCTAGGCCAGCTCAGCCTGAAGAAGATGTGAGAGGCTGAGCCCACTGCCTAGCTAACCTGAGCAGGCCCAGAACACCACGGGGTGCCCAACACCCTCAACCCTGGGGGAGGCTCCCGCAGCCCCTTTCCAGCCTGACTCGGTGATTGGTAGGTACTGGGGGCATTGGGGATCTGAGCTGACTTGAGGGGAGGGAGACGAAGAGGACAGCTCTCAGAAGCTGGGGCAGGGGCTGTGCTGAACTCTAGGGCAGTGGTACCGCCTTCCCTCTTTGCCCTGAGTGGCTGGTGATCAGCTTCCTAACCCCCAAGCTGGGAGCCTTACCTTCCCGGGCCCATCTCCACACACTCTGATCACCACCTGGGCCACTTCCCGTGTGGGCCACCCTAGGGAGTCCTGGGAACATTCCCATAACCATGACAATTATTCCCTCTGCCCCAGGACAAAAGTGAGGCTCTGGACCCGGCCCACAGTGCCCCAGCACTCCCGTCTCCACCCCCACGTGCTTCATCTCGCCATTCATACTTGAGCTTCTGTTCATGTAGGGCGTCCTGGGCTGGGCACCAGAGACAGCAGGCAGGAGGACCCCCCGGCTTAGTCCGATGGGGCAGAACAGGGCCTGGACACCCTGATGCTATCTCCAGGGCCTGCTCCACACAGATAGCCCAGAGGCTGAGGGACCCCCGCTGCCCAGCTGGCCTGGTTTCTCCCACTCTGGGCCGCAGGGGAGGGGCGGAGGGCCAGCTTGCCCGCTTCACTGTGCGCAAGGGCCCAGGCCTGGGAGTCCACAGGTATGAAGGGCACTGGGCTCCCTGGGGGTAGGAAGGGGCAGGGAAGGCGCTTCAGACAAAGAGCCAGGGCCTCTGTCCCCGGCAGCGGCAGGGCAGGCCCCCTCCCCAGCAGGGCTGCAGCGCCCAGCAGCTTCAGCCCAGCAGCTCTGTCGGGGCCCTCAGGGCTCCCGCTCTCCACCGCGGGGGCTCGTGGCCCCCGACCCCTGTGCGTCCCGGCGACTGCCGCGCGGGGCCTGAGGGAGCAGGTCGGGGACCCTGCCCCTTGGGGCTGGGAAGGGAGGGGCGGCTCTCGTCCCCTGCCCCTCGGGCGGACGCCGCGATAGGGGGACCCCGACCGGCGTCCCTTCCCTGGCGATGACCTGCGCCCCGGCCGGCTGGGAGCAGTCCGGTCACC